TCATTCCCTTCCCCTATGCAGACAATTGCTGAAAGTTAGCACTGTAGAAGGAAGGAAATCTTACTGTTTTATTCAGTGATCCTGTGATGGGGTGTATCTACCCCAAACTGACCCAGCTGGGGTTAACCTCACACTGTGGGCCAAAGAGGCCGAGGCCATGGCCACTCGGCCCTGCTGGGCATGCTAATCCTGGAGACAGGATATAAAAAGGAGTGGCCCAGCTCAGTTTGGTTTGGTGTAGAAGGAGAGCAGATGCGAGCTGCAGGCTCCTGCCAGGGAGTTGCTGGACCTATAGACCACAGTGGCCGAGCCGGTGGGATTGACAACGGAACCCCCGTTGACCCTGGAGGTGAATTGGAAGGCTGACACCCCCTGGAGAATTAACAGAGCAGGAACCAAGGGTAGGAAGTGACCCTGGGAAAGTGAATGTTAAAATAGGAAACCGAGTTGAACCACGCACTATCGGTTTCACAGGGCCCTGGGTCAGGACCTGGTGGAGAAGGATGGGCCCAGGTCCCCCTACCCTGCCCAACACCCACCACAGGGTGTGGGCTCTGCTCAAGGACTCTGGTTGCCCTGAAAGCAAGGGCAATCCCTGAGGACTCTGACCAATAGGCCATGCCACCCTAAGCATAAGGGCAGCTCCAAGAATTCTGGCCACTAGGCCACGCTGTCCTGAGAGCAAGGGCAGCCCTAAGGACTCGGGCCACTGGGCGCACTACCCTGCTTTATAAGCTAGGACAGCCATGTCAACTCTAGCCACTTGAGCCGTAAGCCCTTATTTGTTATACATGATCGGACACCCCGTGATGGGATGTATCTACCCCACAACAGATCACCTCTGTCTAACTCAAAGAGCAGTGGAGATAGGCTTTAGAGAGCAGTGTTTAATGGATAAAAAATGGGGAGGGAAGAGAAACTTGAAACTTCAAAGAAAGAACTTTAAGATACCCTACAGTAGAGTACATTCAAATAAAGTTAAGAGTTTGACTCGCTCACCAAATCAGGGAAATTCAGAGTTAAGTACAGGCTAAGGTCCCAATTCTGCAATGAGCTTACTCATTGCAGATTGGGACATAAACCTTTATCATAGAGGGTTCAGAATGAAGTATGCTCTTACTCTGTCCTTACCGCACCATGTTGGGCCTAAATATTGTAGCTTAGAAGATATGTACAATTAGCCAGGCCTCATGGGGAGGGGGGAGGAAGGAGAGACAATTGTACTGGGGTCCCAAGCTCAGAGGGGATCCCCAAATGTATAACTGGGGTAAAATAGGAGAGGATGGGCTCCCCACAAACGTGATGTACTGGGGCCCCAAATTTCTGTCATGGAATCACCCACTGTTCTGAGGCTTCTCTGAATATTGCTTGCAATGAAATATTTAGGTTAAATTAAACATTATTTCTTATTATTTTTCTTTTGTGGTGGCATCCAGAGACCCTTATTAAGATCAGGGTCCCATGGGGACAAGCACTGTACACGAAGAGGAAGATATTGTTGCTGTGTTCAAAAGCTTCAAATCTGGAGACAAAATGCCACAAGTGAAGATAACAAACAACAGGAAGGAAAAAAGGATAGAGGACAAAAGTAAGGAATAGGAACATGTAGGCTCAGACTAGCTAGATGCATAATTTGGTTGGTCTGAGTCATTTTGAAGACTTTTAAAATACAGTATATATATTTGTTTATGTCTTATAGCAACCGGTCTCAAAATTGACTGTGGTTGAAGTATCCGAATACTATAGACTGGACTGTGCCTTTAGGCACAGGTCTGAGGAATGGGCAGTGCACAAGGTGCATCGTATCTACCATTGCACTTTTCACAGCAGTATGAGCATGTTGGCTTTAGTCTCCTGATTAAGTTCTAGCTTGTGTCATTAAATTATGCTTATGCAATTACTGAAAATGCAATAATCATTTCAATTTATAATACTACAGCTGCACACATTATTCACTGCTTCACGCTTCTGTGTACTTTTGCTACTCTCCATAGGCAGCTGCACCTCAGCAGCTGGCAAAGTAATTCCTATCTATCTACCTGCTTACCTACCTACAGGTCTATACATGCTGGTACAGATAATAGTTTAGACTATCACTACAGCGTGTCAAGAATTGTGGGATATATTTGTATGGAAGGCATTGTCTAGCAAGCAAAATTGTTGTAATCAAGGTTATATCTTTGTCACTGCTGTCACAAGTCAAGGTTTCCAAATTTTTTGAGGCATCACTTTTCTCTCAAATGCAAAGTACCTCAAATACTTTACTACCGGTTGTATTTGCAAAAGGGAGTAGCCACAGTTACACCCCAGCATTCGGGTGCAAACTTACCACTTGAGCACATACAAATCTGGGGATTTTGCAGGCCCTGACTAGACGTTTGTAATCTTTCTGCCAGTTTGACTCGGCAGCAACAAGGGACAGGTTCAATAGCTAGGTTTTCCTCTTCAGGGCCGGATTAATCTTTTAGGGCCCTGGTGCCTGGACTGTGGCCCCGCCCCCACTCCACCCGCGCTCTGCCCCGAGGTCCCACCTCCGCTCGGCCTCTTCCCCACCCAAGGCTCTGCCTGCCACTTATAGTGGGGGAGGGGGCAGAGAGGAGTGAGCAGGGCGTGAGGGTGGAGGGGGAGGAGAGGAGCAGGCAGCAGGCAGGGCGGGAAGAGGCCAAGCAGGGATGGAGATATACCTATCTCATAGAACTGGAAGGGACCCCGAAAGATCATCGAGTCCAGCGCCCTGCCATCACTAGCAGGACCAAGTACTGATTTTTGCCCCAGTTCCCTAAGTGGCTCCCTCAAGGATTGAACTCACAACCCTGGGTTTAGCAGGCCAATGCTCAAACCACTGAGGGATGGGGCTTTGGGGTGGAATGCAGGAGGGCAGGGCCATGGTCTGGGCACCGGGGCCTCTTCTGAGTGTGGGCCCAGTGCCACAACACCATTGGCGCCATTGTAAACCTGGTACTGTTTCTCTTAACAATACAAAATAGAATCAGCTCTATCCCCCACCCAGTGATCTGGGAAAACTAAACACCACCCCTGGGTGCCTCTAGGAGGCAGTAGTTCCCCACTCACAAACATTGAGTCTGTGTACAACAAAACTTTTATTAAAAGGGAAAGGGAACCCACTATTAATTTGGGGAAATACTACAACCATGATTCGAAAGCATGTAACCATAAGCAAACATCTACTCCACAGTACATTGAGCAGTGTCCTTTGCCTCAGTTTCCCTCTTTGGGGTGAGAAAGTCAGAAGAATGAATGTCCCTTTAACACGCCTCCCCCCTTTCCCTCCACTGCATCCTACTCACAGTTGGTTGTCCTTAGTGAGCAAAGACTCAGAGTTCAGAGGGGCATTCACATGGGTCCACCTCCCACTCCCTGAAA